GTAGCGACGTTGCTAGACAACCGTCGCCTACGAAAAAAAACACTAACGAGATCAAACGCGGTCTTCGGTTGACCACTTTTATACATGCCAGCAATGAGAATGAAGGGCTGCGTGAAGACTCCATATTATGAATGAAACGTGCGAATCCAATCGTTTGGTGACCCGAAACAAGCACATCCCATGACTCTTACTTCTAGCTGTTGATATACGAGACGGCCAAATAAACTATAAAATGTCACCATATAATCTATTACTCTCGCATTGTATGGATATGAATATATAACTCAATGAAACCTTTCACGAATCACTTCCATACCTGCAAACGAGTAAACAATGTTAATTGGGGAATCTAGTCACGTGATAAGCAGCATGCGCCCAAGTGGCGTGATATTAGGCTTACCATTCTTCAGCGATAGCGTCTTTTAGATATCCCAACTCGGATGATGATATGCACAGAGTGTATCGGTTTGATCTCCAGTGAAAATTAGTGCAGGCAAACAAATGAATGATTCACATCGACTACAGCACCAGTTGCACTTGAAGTTGACACCTTAATAGTACATGTATAATATTATATATACATAAACTCCACGGCATCGACGATTGATTACGAGCGTGTTCTATTTCGTATAGTCTACTTCGAATAATTGCTCATTGCACGAGCTGACTCTCTCCTGATGCTCTCTGAAGCTCTGCGCTTTTAGTTTGTTGGCTTCCTCGTAGCATCATTGTACTTTTATAGAGGCGAGGACGTAACGTAATAAATTATGAACATGAGAATACTCATCGCTGACTCAGAGTTACTGTGTGACTAACTCAGTGAGTGTGTAGCGTTAGTTAAATATGTCGCGTCATGCGACGGCTTTATTTCGTAGCGATTCCAAGAAATGGGCTGAATCATTGATTCATGTCTGGATGCTAGCCAAGGAAATTATGCGCCTCACATCCTCAGCGTGCTGCTCATGACCGCCAAAGCAGAGGCCAAAGTTATCACCTACCGCCATCTATAGGCACATTAAAATACTTTCGTTTAGCGTTTGCCTTCAGCTCTTATGACCCACAATGCAACGGTGCGCATATTTGTATGAGTATGGCGGACGGCAAGTCTCCCGACTACGATCAAGAATCGAAATCCGGCGATACCACTGTGAAAGTGATATGTCTAGGTGACTCCGCTGTTGGAAAATCAAAGTATGTAGTTTCTGTCTTTATTTAACTGTATAAAATAATTTTTAGTATATCGTGTCATTCAGTTGTCGGTAGGCCATTGTCGTATCCATGATAAACAATGCCCCATGAATTTATAGCGCCAAGAAACGGTATTGCTAGGGTTAGAATAGCGACGTATATTGACGTCAGTCACACAGCCTGGTCGGGTTAATGAATTTATTGAAGCTTGGGCCGTGGCACTCATTCACTGACTAAACTGTGTCTACCATTTCACTACTAGTACTAATCGCTGGTGCCAAGTGGTGGTGATCTGCCTTTGATATATAACTATAACTATAAGTGCATTGTTCTAGGTGAATATGGCGCAACGATCGGAAATGTTATATGATGCCAATTTGTTGGAGAGTGGCTGGGTAGTGACGCTGAGAGGGTCTATGTCCCACGGGGTACTGCCGGAACGTACCCTGGGTACGGTCCTGTATACCTGAACGTACCCTGGTACTATCTAATATGCCGGACCGTACCTCGCCTACTCCACTAACCATTCCAGGGAGTCGCTTACGCCTACTCCCTAACCCGAACCCTAACCCTAATCCTAACCCTAATCCTAACCCTATTACCCTAACCCTACCCTATTACCCTAACCATATCAAATAGTGACCAGGGTACGTTCCGGTATGTCGGACCGTACCCAGGGTACGTTCCGGCAGTACCCTGGGGGACATAGACCCTATGAGCGGTAGTGACAGTGACATTGACAATGTGTTACTGTTAGTGTTACTGTTACTGCAGTGTCACTGTTAGTGTTGCAGATGGGGTCGTTGTCGTATGAGGTACTACAGATATGTACCCGAGGTAGTTTTAGGTTGTTTAGTATTATGTTGAAATATTTTTATATGAGGTATGTTTAGGGTTAGGGTTAGGGTACACTGCTGTAGTACAAGTCTGGTACACTTTGTGTATACATATATGTACCTCATGTACATATCTGTAGTACCTGATACGACAACGACCCCTGGAGCGTTAGTGTTACTCCTACACGCAACCATAAATACATACTACTACTACTACTACTACTGCTACTACTACTACTACTAGTACTACTGCTGCTGCTACTACTACTGCTACTACTACTACTACTACTACTACTGCTACTACTACTACTACTAGTACTACTATTACTCGGTATTAGTACTACTACTACTACTACTACTACTACTACTAGTATTACGACGCCACTTGTTAACCTGCGACAGACTTAATCTCCTGCACAGGGTCAGCGCTTTGATGGTAGAGTAAAATAGTGGGATAAAAATTCATTACCTTGGCATTTTGGATCAAGGATAGTTTGGGACCCCGCAAATGTGTTTTCGTATTTCGGTTAAGTACATAGAGAAACAAAACTTTATGAAGCAAGCCCTTAATAATTTCTCTTTAATTTTTTGCAGGCTTGTGGAGCGATTTCTGATGGACAATTAGTATCCTTATCATTTTAAATTTAATTGTATGCCTAAAATGTGTAAAATAACATATGGCTCAATGGTGGGTGATTAGTTTTTAAACACCAATTACAGGGCGAGCTTTGGTAGTGTTGTTTCAGATGGCCTAGACCATATATGATTTTTTTCATTGCATAACTGGTTGCTTCAGTCATATATTGGCTATATATATTTGCATCTGGGTTCTCTATGCCTATTTAGATTTTCATAGCTTATCACTATATAATGTCATGTAGTCTGTTTATTTAGTAAAAAGCAAGTGGTTGGCTTTATGTTTCAACAATGGGGAGATGTGATCTTAAGCAGGGGGCACACGAGCGAATGTTTTTTGCTACATCGAACGATTTGGATATGGCTTCGAAAATTCGCTCGTGTGCCCGCTATATCGACGGCGACTGAGTACGGCAAATCCAGTCGCGCGATTAATCGCACATATCAAACATGTTTGATATTTTCGCCCGATTTTGTTCTCACCGGCGATCAGATCGCCGAGAAAATCGCTAGTGTGCCCAGAAAATCGCTCGTGTGGCCATTGTGGCGAGCACAATCGAGCGAACCCATTCTTAGAAACCAATCAGAGTTTGCAGTAATGTCACGTGATAGAAAAATTTGCACATATTCACTCTCCAACTCTCAACAAATTAGCGTAAATTCCTCGGCTTTTCCGGTGCATACTCCAGCTTTTGGACCATGAGATTCGATTCAACCAGCAATTTCTTCGTATTGAACGCCATTTTAATAACAAATAAATTGCAGCGACCATAGCAAACCTTCGCTTGCTGGACGGCGCCATATTGTACAGGTCACATGATTGATGGATTTGTAGGGTGCATTGGTGTAGGGTCTAGAGTAATAATCGCAGCGTGTGCCCGTTTGTGATCGGGCGTAAAATTTCGCTGACGATTTATGATCGCAGTGATCGGCGAAAAATATTGCTCGTGTGCCCCTAGCTTTAGAAGTCCACGGCTGTAAACCTTTACTACAACTGCTACCTGGCTGTAAGTATAATTGACAGGCGCTACATGGTGGAATTAATCTGTTTGTGGTTTGTTATATTACATCATGTAGCTCAGGCTTCAGAAGCGGCTAGTATGTGAACTATAGCAGTTAGTGTATATGAATTATACTCATAATCGTATGACTATTATATATGGGCCATCTAGATGACATAGCCTGTAATGTTATCATATTATGTGTAAATTGTAATGTGATGTGTAGACATGGCTTCTTTTGAGTATTATTCTAGTCCATACAGCAAATATCCCAATAATAGATCATGATATCAGTGATTGTTAAATGTCATAATTAAATTTGGTTTACATATACTTGTGTATAAACAGTACAAAAATTGCAAGGTAAATAAACTAGTAAAACGTAATAATTTCAGACCGGACTGGCCTCGTTTGGTTTTCATTAAAAGTCTTTGTTTGCATCCAATGATGGTGATGCATATATTTATTGCAATTCTATATTTATTGTGATTCGTGAGTTATAGTATTTACTTGATGCAATATCAATTGCAGTGACATACCAATCTGCAATTTGAAATTAGTTCATGATATATTCCCCTACATATTGCTCAAAAAGAGTATTCAAGTATCGTTTTGGTCTGCATAACTAATTTCAATGATTGGAAGGCATATATATGTCAATGTTTTGCTGTGGGTACCATTCTATTAATTACTCATCAGGATGAGGTTTAGATTTACACGTTATTATCAAGAGTTCCTTCACCTGGAGCTGTTGTGTATAAAGGTGTGGGCTTATCTCATTTGCAGTGTGTGCAATATATTAATCAGTGCCTCGTTAACCCGGGCATGCTATAATAAGTAGCAATTTATTGTTTAGCAGTGTGCAGTAATGAAGTAACACCAGTGTAATAGTATACCTACGGTCGTGAAGTAATTGCAATATGTTCCGCTGAAAGCCTGGCGATAATTGAGTCAATTTAAACGAGGCTGTACACGTGTCAGCTAAATGGCTGCAATTGAACACGTGAATGTTATCGATCAAATTTAGGCCCCTGGTAAGAAATTTTAGCCAACTATTTACAGGACATTTAAAGGTTTTTTCAAGTTATTTCTGAGTAGTCGCACATGCGTGAGGGGAGGTCGCTGTAACCTGTGGAAACAATGTAAAGGTCTCATGTGCTCTTCTGAAGTTCACTTTTGATTTTTAAAGTCGCGAGATTAGTATAATGTTTTGAGTGTTTTGCAAAGGTGGTGAAGTTTGGGTTAATACGATCTATAGCCCAGAATAGCATCAGATCATTACATTCATTGGTGACTAGCCAGAGGCAGTGCCTTGGCTGTGTAATAGAACAGCCTTTTCTTCAAAATACCTTCAATGCATTTCTGTTGTATTTTTGCCAAGTGAAGAAATATGGCTGTTAGATCGCTTAATTAGTTGTGGTTATTTTCCACCGTAATATGTTGTTTATGTGTTTATGTGATGATTTGTTCCCTCCAGGTGTTCTTGTTAAAGATAAATGAACCAATATCAATGATTACCAATCATTATTACAGGCTTTTGAGTTGTGGGGGAGTATTGCATGTTCGCGTTCTTGTGACCTCGATGGAAGGGAATCTAGAAGCAAAAATAAGTTTTTGGTCCTTAGTGCCTGTTTTTCAGTCAACCACAACAACTTTCGACGTATGCTCTGACGTTATTTCGATACCACACGAAACTAAACGAAGATAATGTGTGTGTAGGTAAGTAGAAAAACGTGCTGAATTTTTGAAATAATATTAATGACCTTCCGCATAACATTAGTGATGAGTCTGAAAATGACAGTGAAGATAAAAATTCAAACCACTACTTGTTAGTATACGAGGGCTTCAGCCTCCCTAACGGCGATGTAAAGGTGATTAATTATCAAGTGATAGCAGGCAGGCAGTGGGCTTGAGGCAGAACACAGGTGATAATGAGAATGGCTGCTATAGAGAGTTTGTGCTAAAGGGGTTGTAATGCTGTGCTGGGCATGGAATGTTTTATGAGACAGTAGTATGGAAGTGAAGGCCAACAGAGCCTACAGTGCAGATGTATGTGTGAGTGCGTGTAGGACGAGTGTTTACGACAGGTCTGCCAGCGAACTAGTGGGATATCGCTGAATTTTGGTTATGGTGTGTTACGTATATTTCTTATTTATGCAGATTTCTGGGACACGGCCGGACAGGAACGGTTCAGTAACATGCACCCGTCTTACTACCATCAAGCACATGCATGCATTCTGGTATGTCCATACTCTTGCTTTACACTATTCCCCATGCATAATTGATTGGAGTCTAGGTGAGAGTGCAGTCTGTATATATGCAGCAGCATAGAGTTCGGCTGGCATGTAAACCATGTACGAGGCATTACATAGCAGAATGATCAGCTTGCACTTAACGAGCTGCGATCAGAGATGAGATGTCCCAGTTCTGTTGCACAGGTGGCTTAATCAATCTAATTACTTATTACATTTTAATGATGAAGAGTCTGTTTGCGGTATATGAGCTGTGTCTGAGTGGGTTCATTAGAAGCGATCCACTTATGATTTGTACTTGAGTCTTGTGGGTACTTTACCAAGGCTTCTTGTTACAAGGTGGTTAAAAGACCATAGCCAGCTATGTTGTTGTTGCATTGGCGTGTTGAATTTGTTCCTGCTATGCGTCTATACAAGATGAAACATGTGATGCATGTTTACGTTTTTGTGTTTCTTTCCCATAAATATTCTTGTATCCACACGTGTACGCAAGGTTGTATGTGTTGTGTGTTTGCGTGTTATGATCACGTACGTACATGGTTGAGCTATACAAGAAAAGCTGCCATGTTCTATTTAATACAGAATATTTAAGAATAATTTAATTTTCAATATGAACTTTAATGCTTTGTTGACACATGCCTTTCGTCACGTGATTGCCATTACCTTATATTGTGCGTGCGTGCGTGCGTGTGTGCGTGCAAACGTGCGTGTGTGCGTGCAAACGTGCGTGTGTTTTGCGGATTGGACGTGTGGAATGTGGTGGTGATGTGATGTGGTGCCTGTTGTTCTCGTAGGTGTTTGATGTCTCGCGAAAAGTCACATACAAAAACCTTCCGATGTGGTTAAAAGAACTGAGGGACTACAGGCCAGAAATACCCTGCCTCTGTGCTGCAAACAAAATAGATGGTAAGACGTACATGCAGGCTGAATCTATTACTTACCAAACATTAAGCTTTTGTCACTACTATTGATGAACAGATGACGACTTGATTTTAATACATACTCGCGTCTACAGCGGCTGGTGTATGTGAGTGCGTGCGTGCGTGCGTGCGTGCGTGCGTGCGTGCGTGCGTGTGTGGGTGCATGCATGTATATGTGTGCGCATGTGTGTGGGTGAGTGCATGTGCCTGTGTAGGGGAGAGTGCGTGCGCCTGTGTGGGGGTGAGTGCGTGCGCCTTTGTGGGGATGAGTGCGTACGCCTTTGTGGGGGTGAGTGCGTACGCGTATGTATGTGAACACAGTATTAGTATCATTTGCACTGTGCTTACTGTTGAAGACAGGTAAACTGTTTCTGTATTTTTATAGTATAAAGAGCTCTTGGATGAAAATACATGTCATGTCAATATATCATAATAACGTTGTGTATGTGGTTCTTTGACAGTTGATTACAAGATAACACAGAAAAGCTTTAATTTTGCCAAGAAGCAAGGCATGCCATTTTACTTTGTCTCCGCATCAGATGGGACCAATGTAGTCAAGGTAGATGAGTTACAGTAGTAACACAGTTACTTGTGAAATCCTATGAGCATTTTATCTGACTATTAATTTATGCTTAATAATCTTAGCTATCTCGGATGATTGCTTCATTGCTCCACAATGTGTAATTAATGCTTGTCAAAGATATTCTTTACGAGTGTTGTAATTGGTTTACTAAAATCGTATTGCTATCGGAATGGTGCTTCGTAGGCAATATTCCATTGGTTAATATTTCACCTGTATTGCCTGCTAGAGTTACATCTGCTGCGCTGTATTGATTGTGAAGCTGTTGCAGCATTAACCCCCAGACAGTTCAGTACTCACAGCATCCGTAGGTGGGTGTGTTACCTAGGCAGGTTCGATTTGTGTAATATCTGTATTACTATCACTAATCAGGAGTGTATAATATAGATAAAACATAACTAACTGTTTTAATAACATTACAGTAACTAACATAATGTACTGTTACTAGGTTGCGTGGTTGGTACACCAGATAACTATTAGAGACCCTCTTTTTACCCCCCTCCCCGCTTCCATTGGTTTTATAGCATCTTCATAGCATCAAATATTTAGTGTCACTGGTATTGCATTAGACAGAGGCATTCTACATGAGTTGTGATAGCAAGGTCTTGAAGGAAAAAAGGATCTTCATCGTTCCAATGCGATATGTCTGATCATGCTAGTAAAAATACAGTATAAGGTCAAATATCGGTCTAAGGTCAAACGCCAGGTTTCAAGTTTCCCGCTGTATATGGAGCCATGCGGTCTTCTTTAGGTTAATGTTACTGTTAAGCACGCACAACTTAGATGCTCTCTATCGCTTAGTGGAAAAGGTTCACAAATTTATATGAACATGTACTTGATCTGGACCTTTGTAGCATATCTTCATTGTGACGGTAAAGCATGCCTGTATATATACCGTATCCAGTTCAGAGTATATATCCTCGCTCAATTGCTTACATATCCTTAAAAAGACTGCCATTTTTTGAAAGCTGCTCTGTTCCCCTTGTGGCTGGCAACGCTCATGTCATTAACACGTATTTTTAGCGTGGTAAGAGAGGTGATTGCATGAACCCTTGGCAGCTTGTGCACTGCATTCAGAGTCTCAATGAAAAGGGGGACTCAATTGTAGAGCATATCTATGGATACTAATTTTCTTCACAGAGTCCTTTCAAGTTAAAAGCGTCTATGGATAATGCGGGTAATAATTTTTTATGTGTTCCCCTGAGCAGGAAATTTTACGTTTCTGGCCGTTTAAATAATCATAAAATAAAAACCATTTGCTTGTTTGTAGTCATGGAACCCAAGTTTAATAAGTACGGCTCCTGTGGTTTATGTAATGAATGCAACGTCCACTGTCATATACTCGAGCTGAGTCAATAATTTTTGCACAGCCATCTCTTGAAAATATAGTACGGTACACATTCTATTGTCCGAAATTCTGAAAATCCAAAAGCTCCGAAAACCGAAAGTTTTTTCATGGAGGTCGTCTGCACACCAAAGCTCACGTTTGGCTGCACAAGGTTCACTGCAGAAATATGAATGTGTTTGGCATTACTCATACATATTGTACTGTAAAAAATGAAATCTGTAACTCTAAAAAATTCTGAATTCCGAAACGTGTCTGGTCCCAAGGGTTTCGGATAATAGATTGTGTACTGTAATTTTATCACAGTTATTGCCATCATTCATATTTAGCCTTTTTTTTAATTTTCAGTTATTTAGGGATGCTATCAATGCAGCCGTAAGCTACAAGAACAACTCTACAGACTACATGGATGAAGTAATGCGAGAATTAGAAGTATGATATGTGATTTATTCATTCTAAATACATTTATAGGAATTATTGCATAAATAACTGCACAATTGAGAAAAATATAGCGAAATATTGTCTCACCTAATAGTGAACATGTTACTGATTACTCCAGTATAAAAATTACCATGAGTTTTTGCAGTTATGGTATATAAAATAGTAATTAATACAGCCACGTTCTTTTTCAAAGCGACAATTTTCTTGAAATCGGCAACCATCATACAAAAGTGCATCTTATTGAGTGACGTAGTGGTTCTAGATGGGTACAACATCTCTATTGCTTAATTCAAATTACCATAATTACCAAATTACCACGTAAAAGTACATGGACAGGGTCTCACGAGAAACAAGTGGCATCATTATGTAACCGCGTCAACGTAATGTAACCAAGCGGATTTCAACCGTATATTTTTGTTAAAATATTGATGTACGACTGTTCTAAGACATGTTAGCTTTACTTTAGATACTTGTCTTGGTGTTATGCAAGCAATACCAGTAAGTATTGTAGTGGTCGGAAAAATACGAGACCGGTCAGAAATATTGTTTGAAATCATTACTTTAATAGATAAATGTTCACGTATGGAGCTAAGAGACAGTGAAGCAGGAGAGTCAACAAGCCCTCTTTGTCTAACAAAGAGAGAGAGAGAGGGGGAGAAAAGGCGAGAGTGCAGGAGAGAGCATGTGAGAGGGAGGGAGGCAGGAAGAACGAGAGAGCGCGTGCGAGAGAGAGAGAGAGAGAGGGAGGGAGAGAGACGGGGAGAAAGGAAGAGCAAGAGAGAGAGAGAGAGAGAGAGAGAG